TTAGTTTGGGACAGTTGGTTAGGTTTTATGGTGGTGATGCAAAATTTTTAATTATATTTATTCTAAAAGCAATTAGTTTCCTAAAATAAAAAAAGAAAGTCTTCTCACTAAGAGGGTAGGCTTTAATAAATGGAACACACACACAACTTAAGCAATTCTTTTTAAACCAGTTAATGAAACCTGAATGAGGGTTGACGGTCTTAAATTTAGATACTTGCATTATTTATCTCTAAGTGTGAAAAACATTTGGATCTAATTGTGAAAACTAATTTTGCTTTTAATAAACAAAGTAAGAAAATTATATATATTCTGTCACTTTTTCATTAACATGAATGAATGAATGATTAAAAATACAACTTTTATATTTTCTGCTTATTATAAATTAAAGTGAAAATATGAAAGGGGAATTTAAAATATGACAAATATGGAAAATCTAGTCCCAATCAAGATAGGAATTGTAAATGGATTTTTTTTTTTTATATAAAAATGTTTTTGATTGAATAGTTGAAATCTCTATCTATAAAAGGCTGGTTGTGTGTGTGTGTGTGTGTGTGTGTAATGAATGCACGGCCGCAATTTTCGACGGATTTGAACCAAAATTTACATGCACATGCTCCAAGATAGCAAAAAGGCCAAGACTGACTTTGCATTTCCCAACTCCCATCAATAGTGGAAATAATCGATTTTTTTCATACTTCTATGGCAGTTTTCATGTAGTTTGCGCCCATTTAGTACTGGCCAGAGTGAGAGCCAATAAGGACTGCCACAAATAGGCAGGAAGATTCTATTATCCAGCGTGAGAGCCAACAGCTGACTGACAAAATGTTAACTAGCATGCAAAAAAATATCGATAGCTGCATTCGTCACAAGTGGGAAAAAATTTAAATCTTCATGGCACTTTACTCCAATTGGCTCATTAAAGGTTTAAACCAACGTTGATTCTGATTCCGCAGAACTGGGTTGGGTGTGAAAAAAAAGTATTTGTTCTTAACATCCATTTTCATTCGGTTTTTCCAGTTACGAGTCCTTTTTTTTAAAGCTGATCATTTTGTGTTCATTTTGTTTAGTTCTTTTTTTTCGTCACCGATTTAATGTTTAGTATAGAGCTTAGAAAAAATTCACAGTGGGAGATAGGCAAGAAGTAAGGCATGTAACAACATCAGCACAGCAAAGGGCACTCCTTTAAAGGCAAGGAAGGGCAAAAATATTTAAGTCAAGTGATAGCGATTGCTGTATGAGTCGTACGATTTTTGAATCAAGCATGGGCAACGCCGGGTCATGCTGCTAGTGTGCTAATATTCTTTTCATAGAAGCTGAATGCATAGAACACAATTCTTAGAATATGATAAATGTAGTTATTCAGACTGTTGTCCTCATCTTTACTGTTGCATTCACAATGTTTTGGTTGTTGTACACTGCAGCCTTTTATCTACTGTGCCATACGTCCTTGGCCACACATGGCCTAATGGAAAAAAGTGTTGGGTGATTTATCCAAAAAAGTGACTTGACCCAAAGAGTTGTGAGTTCAATTCCTGGCATCAGTGGAGAGAACAACAACATTGAGAGTTATCAAGGCGTATTAAATAAAACTGACATATCCAAATATTTGGAATTAGAACGATCTACCACTGTGGACTAAATAGAGGATTTAGTTTGAAATTCCAAAAATATTCCCTGAAGGAGGCCGGAGTGTACAACAGCCGCAACATTGTGAATGTGACAGTAAAGTTGAGGATAACAGTCCAAACAATGTAAATTGTGTGAATGATTAGATTGAGGGGTGGGGATGATGGTAAAAAAAGTTAATCTGGAACCCTGGTTCATACTTCTTTATGAGAAGCTATAAAAATATTTTTTTTCCTTTTCTAATACCACTACCTTTGTATTTTTTAATACTAGAACTGATGCATGTTGAAATCATCACAGTATTTAATATTGTTAATATTAAGAAAATTCTACGTTTCATTCAATTTCACAAACCAATCAATAAAATTTAAACAAGCTGATTTGTTTGGAAAAATACTTTGCCAAAAAAATCCTACTTCATGGTTTAATAATTTCTTTAATTTAATTTTATAGGACATCATGATAAAAAATATATTTTTAAGAAATTTTTTCTTTTTAACAGTGAAGAATAAATTCTTAGGATTTCTTACTCTTGAGCATGCAATATTTCTTCCTAGAGCCAAATTTCAACTTTTTGAAGCATTTAATCCTTTTGATTTGTTTCTAGTTGTCACAAACGCAAGGTGAACTGGAAGCTGGATTCTTATAAAAACTTAAGATATACAAAATAACAATATTGCATTTTTATTAAATTTATTAAATAAGTATTTATTTTAATCACTAAATTGTTTTTAAAATAGTAGAAGTATTTTGTATATTTTAACATAAAAAATACTCCTAATAAATAAAGCATTTAATTTTGCCAAAAATTTAATGAAAATTTATTGTACTAAGCTATGCACCCTAGTAAAATCAATTGTACTTTGTACCCACTTACCTGTTTTCATTTCTCCCCAAAGTTTAGTTTTGATCAGTTAATGTATGGCTATTTTAGTAGGTGTGTTGGACGGTCTAACAGAAGTCACAGAATTTTATATATATATATATATATATATATATATATATAAAATACTCACAAGGTAAACTCTAGTATAATAATGTAAAGACATTCTGTGGTGATATATCTATTATTCTGTGTTACTTTTTTTTTTTGTTATGGTTTAACTGTATGAAAAGTTATATAAATTAAAAAAAGGAATGATTTAAAGCTTTTTACCCATATTATTTCATCACAGAACCAGAAGAATAAAAACAGTAAAGTCTCTTTTTGAAGTACTGTCATGTCTTTGAGAAGAAAATTTGGTCAGTTCTTCATATTCTGACAGAAGTATTCAGACAAAAGATTCAAGATGTGGGGGAGAGAAATTAATCTTGAATAATAATCAGATTTAATCAAAATTGAGCAAAAAAAAAAAGATTTTTTTTTTTTTTTTTTTTTTTTGAAAGAATGATAAAAAGACAGAAAATTTGAAATACCAAAGATTAGTTTAAACAAAGGAAAATAAAAGCAATCATTGAAACCTGGTCACTGATTAAACTGATGAAAAATTGTGGATGGAGGATGGAGGAAATGTCTCCCAAATCAATAGGAATTGGAAATTTGATGGAATGAAGCAGGTGCTTGTTGAATGGAAAGAAAATGAATTAATGCTTAAAGTTTCCAGGAAGAATTTTTTTTTTTTTTTTCCGTAATTTCAATCTCAAAATTCAAATCTTAGAAAACACTTTAAACAAACTCTGCCCGTTTCCTTAAAATATTACTAAATATTTTAATGACTTTTTTCTTTTCTTTCCATTTTTCACCTACTGTGTAATCTAATAAATGTTAATCTTGTATTTTCAGTTTTATTCCTTTTTAATCAATTAATTCCATATTTCTAATCCTTATTGTCGCGTAATGTTTTCTTTGATTATGTCTGCTGACATCATCTTTGGTAGCCATTTCTTTCTATTGTTTTACAAACTATTCAAAATGAACATTTCTTTAATGGGAATAAAATCCTCATTTTAACTCGTACAATGGCACATTACTATAATTCACACACTCAAAAAAAAAAAAAAATTATTTTGCTCACCAGATTTCAGATTTGGCAATCTCCAACCTTCTTCACGTTGCCTAATCATGACATAAAACACTGTCAGTCATCATTAAATTATTTTGATTTTCTTCTGTTTCTTTTCTTCTGTTTTCAGTGGGTGGGTATACTAATGTTCACCCAATACAAGGCCCAAGAACCACTCAAGATAGAGGATTAACTGAATAAGGTTGTTGTATATGCATAAGTGGAGGAGGAGGAGGTAAAAAGTGTAGTTTATGAGGATATGTAGGAAAGATTTGCAATTTAGGTAGAGATGGTCAAAACAACAAATAAGAAGATACCAGCTTGAATAATTTGCTGGATAAAATTTGCACTTTAAGAAAAAATGCAATGAATTAAAAGAAAAATTTAGATTTTTTTTTTTTTTTTTTTTTTTGCAAAGGACTAAAAAACCAAGTTTTTTTTTTTATGTTGATTATTTTACCAAAATGTCAGTTCTTATAAAGATATTTATTATTTCAATTTAATACATGTGCTTGGACACCACTCATTCATTGCAACTGTTTGTGGTTGGTGATTGAAGTATTTTTATTCATTTTATTGTAAGCTAAATATTAGAGTGCACCAACTGATGAATCTGCTATGATTGTTGGCTGTTGTCCAGAAATTAATTTTCTTTTTCAACTGCTAATAATGAGGTAATAAAAATGGTGATCATGGTTCTCCATTTAATAGGGGTAGAAGGTTCACCTATTGTCCAGTTCACACTCCTCCTCTGTCTTTTGAACAGGATTGGGTTTCTGGTTCCTTCTAAGGTCTACTTCCACACTACCTGACTCCTTGTACTATCCTTTTTCCTTTTACAAGAGCCAGATCAGGCCAAAAATAGAGCCCTGCTGTTATATTTTGTCCCTGCCCTCACTTTCCAGTCTTTGCAGAGTTCAAAAGTATCTTAGCATCCTTATGGGTATTTCCTCTCCTGCATCCCTCTCTCACAGACAAGATGTTGCAAGGCTCTCACTGCTTTGTAGAACCAACTCCCAAGACGATGTTTTTCCAATAACTATAATTTCAAACTTTCAAATCTAAGGTTAATCATTATCTCCCCTTATCCTCAAAAACTGTGCCTCTTACTCTGTAACCCTCTACCTTGAGTGGCTCCCAGTCCTTGTACAGGATGAACATACATTACTGTAAAAAAAAAAATATACTTCTAATGTCACTGACTGAACTATGTAATGTTATTCACAAAGGGAGGATGGTGGGTTAATTAAATATCATGTCTTAAAGTTTCTCAATCCTTCTCCCAAAAATAGCTATAAAATTTATTTTGTTTAGCAGAAATAGTTTTTAACTCCTTTTCTTTTTTGTTCATTTCAGGTTAAGAGACTTTCAATGACTGACGATAGCACAGACCAACCAATTGTAGCGGTCTGCGTTGTTTCTGACCGTTTAAGTTGTCCACAAGACTATTTCCTGGTAAGTAAGCAATGAACTTCTTTTTTTCTTTTTTTTTTTATCATGCCCTTCTTTCATTTGTATGTATCTTCTGATGATGTAGAAATCATAATCAATGTTGAAAAGAATGTTATTTGTTTAGATTCAATATTAACACATTGGCTCCTGCACAACCCTCCATTGGCTCGTTTTCCAATTTCTTTTCTATAATGATTATTGGGAATGTGATGCTAGGATTGATTGCTTATAAGATCATGGGACACCAGAACCACATTTTTTTTTTTTTTTTTTTTAGAAAAAAGAAAATTAAATATTTTTGAATTTTATCTTTAATTTTGGTTTCCTTTTGGAATTTCTACTGTTTGGTTTTGGTTTTTTTTGGGGGGGGGGTACATAGAGCTGTGCCTTGCATTCAGGTAAACTAAAAGATTGAGTAAACAGAAAATTTAATTGGCATGAAATTATGAAAATTTTTTTAAAAAAAGGTGTTTTATTTTAGTTAGGAAATCAAAATAATAATGCCTACAACCAGTAAAATAAGCCCAAGAATTCTAATTTAATAGAAACCAATATTACTAATAAACAAAAAAAAAAAAATATTACTAAATTTGGATTTCTTGAAAAGATACAAAAGAAAAAAAATATGAAAGCACATATTGCTACACCACAAAGAAATGTTGAATTGGTTCTTATTTTATATGTCTCTTATTGAAACACTCACAGCATCAGGAAGGATTACTTTCACATTCAGCACTAAATGGATTTACTTTTTTGTTTTTTTGTTTTTTTATCATCTTCCTTTGCACTCATTGTTTTCCTCATTTCGCTTTAATAGGATTTAAGATATAGTGTTGGGATCCTGGGACAACAATGGAAACGTGGCTTGGAAGCCAACATGGTAAAAAAGAAAATGCAAAATGATGTAAGGTGTTTGATGTTGCATAAAATACAATGTAATTACTAAATTACTTAAAGATTAAACCTTTTTTTCATGGTATTGGTAAATTAGTATTATATTGAATTCTGTGGTTTTGTAAATTGTTTAATTTTAACAGTAAAAAACTTCTTTATATATATATTCCATACTTCATACTTCTCCAATTCACTCTCGTGTGGTCATGTGTGACGTCATGAGATGCGGTGCGATTTTCACTTCTAGCGTCTTATATGCACGTGTTTATCGTTGCTTAGAAATCATCTATGTAAACATTGACAGACTATCATCACTGTCTTGTCCGTATATTGCTTAGTATGTTGTAATTGACATCTTTGATAACGGCTTAAGTAAGTTTAAAGCCAGATTGTATTAAAAAAAATATGGATCAATATTGTGAATTTCTTTCTTCGTTCAACGATAACGTTATTAAACTTATCAGATGTTACGAAAAAAATTTACATAAAATAAATAGACAACACTTGTCTATATTATTTAATGAAACGTGTATATATATATATATATATATATATAATCAAGATGAGGAATTCTATTAAAATCTATTGCAAGGTTATTGGACACAGCATACTCTTAAGGAAACCTGGAGCATGTACAAGCCAAAATATGAAATAATTTATCAGCAATTATTGTTACAAGCATATTGAAGGGGGAGAAAATTTGTCACACTCAGTAGAAAAACAAGAATAATCTACATCTATGAATTTAATAAAGTGTTCAGCTTTAAATTCCCAGTACGTCAGAGTGTATACAATTGCCAAAATTTTGCGACTTTAAAAAAGATGAGAATTCTAGTCTGAGTAAATCCACATATCAGAAGGATAATTCCACATATCAAAAATTCAGACAAAAATTTTGACCAATTGAGTTGCTTTGAGGTTATTTAGCAATACCTATCTCCTTTCTAAAGACTCTTCAATAGGTGAAGAACGTAATAAATTTTATCTTTGGAGGAAAAAAAGATACAGGGAAAATATTCCTTTTAATGTCTTATCTTTGCTTTTCAAAATTTGTTTGTTTTCAAATCTGTAAACACTATTGAACTTGTACATTTTTTTTTTTTTTTTTTTTTTTTACCCCAAGGAGCAATTTTGGTTAATGACTTTCAGCCTCATTATTGTCACTGAAAGAAAAATTATTTGAGAAAAATTCTCCATATCTTGTAAAAATTTTATAAAAATAATTCTATTGATTATGTATTTAATGTAAGAATAGACAGGATTTTTTTTAGACTCTAAAATACTAAAAAAGCTTCAAGAGAAATTTCATGGAATATTCTATAGTTATTGACTTTGTGTAAAAAAAAAAAAAAAAAAGTATCTTTTTTATATTAATATGAACACTTAAATAACAAAAAAATTATCTTAAATTGAATTAAAATTATACTTTGATTTCTGATAATAAAAAAAATAAAAACAGGAAAGTATTTTGTTCTGCCATGATAAATTGAATGTCAAATAAAATGATTGCTTTTTTCAATTATACAGTGCGTTCTCCTTGTTGGTTCAAAACCCGATAAAATCACTTAGCAACAATGGTCTCTAAGGCAAACATTGACCTTATAACAATGAAAATCTTGATCAACAATCAACCAGTCCACATGGCTGCCAAGCTCAGCAATAGCATTTTTTTATAGCTTTTTATTTTTAATTAAAAAAAATTTTTTTATACAGTACTTATAGATATTTTTTTTTATTTTCATTTTATTAAGACCAAATTGGATAGTGAGGTAGGGAGAAGATGTGATTACTTTCCAAGTGAAAAGACTCCAATCCACAGTCTTATATCTGAAGCTGAAGTATCTAGTCAACTAAACCTATCTTATCTCTAACTGTAATGTTAAATTTAAATGAGTTCTGGGTTTATATATGTTACATGGAGTTTTGATGTTCTGGCACTAATTTGACTGAAGTTAATCTTCACTCTCTTTTAGCCAGATAAGTGAAAAAGAGTTGAAAAAATATTTTTTAAAATACAGCTGACTGTATTTTAGTGTATAGTATGGCTCATTATAGTGAAAATTGATCATTAAGGTTCATTGTGCTAAAACTGGAAACTGGGTGTTAAATTAGATGTTGCAGAAGGGTAGGCTAATCAGATGTTAAGTCTTAAAGCTTCCTTGATTCCATATTTTTACCTGATCTTTTCATGAACTGGACATTTTAAAGATGTATTATGCAACTTTAAACATTTTTTTTAAATAGACTTTTTTTCTTAACTTATTTTTGCCCTATATTTTACTATGGTCAAATTGATTAAGGAGGATTATTGCACGCTTCACTTGGGCTGGGTGCATCTTTTATTCACAGATAAAGGATTATGATTTTTTTGTATCTAATGTTAAAACATTTTGATAAAAAAATAATTCTCTTGCTGCATGATGTTTAAGTTGAATTCATAGTAGGCTTTCTGCTTGACTAAATTATTAGGTTAGGTCAAGAGTAATATTTGTTTTGCAAAACCAATTGTAACAACAAAATGTATCATCCTAACTATGAAGCTCTAATTGCAACTTCTCGGGATAACATTCTCAGATGATATGAAGTGGAAAGATCATATTGAATTCATTGCTAGGTCTGTTGCTCAGAAAGATGGTTCACTGTGTTGTTCTAGACAATTTTTCTCTTACATATTTATAAGTCTATCATTCATCACTGTTTAGGATATTGCTGCCATATCTGGTCTGGTGCTCTTGCTATATATTTAGAAAGTCTTGATAAAATCCAAAGAAAAATCATCAATATTATTGGTCCTGACCTGACATCTCGGTTCAGACACTTTCCAACAACCATAATATATCTTCTCTGTGCCTTTTCTATAAATACTTTTATGGTAATTGTTCAGATGAACTCTTTGCTATGGTACCTGGATATTATGAATTTAAGTGCAGTACTAGATTGGTGGCAAGATCTCATCATTTTAAAGTTGAAATAATTAAATGTAACCATCAGTTTTATGCTAACATTTTCTTTTCTCATTTGTGTAACTCTCTTCCCGCCAGCTTTAACCTTCAAAAATTTAAATAAATGCAATGTCATTCGTTATCTTCTGTCTTGATAACTCTTCTATTGTTCTCGTTCCTTAATAATGTTTTTTTTTTTTATTCTTTCACATTAAGTAACCCTTTGTGTTTTAGTGGCACTAATGCCCTGCATGGGTTAATATGATGAAAAAGAAAATCATTTTTCAAATATTGAAACATTTTTCATATAATATAAAAGAACATGATCTTAGTCTTAATTTCCATTTCAGTAGTTTTTATTCAATAAAGTAACATTATGTCTATAATAGTAACAAAATACATAAGAATGAAAATATTAGGGGAAGTTAATTTCTTTCCTCTATAAAGGACAATCTTCTCCAAACACAATTGCATTACTTCCCTTCTCTTGAAGTCAAGCACAACACTTCTGAATTGAAGATGGTGACAAGCTGACATGCATGTGGAATTCATGGTTTCAATCTAAATAAATCCTTGCTATTTTCAGACATTTCAGTTCATTTGTTTTGTTCATCCCAACAACCTGGGATATAACAGAAATTATTCATATGTTTCAATACTAATAATAGATAATAGTCAAGGGTATGGACATTTTTGATCCCTGACTTAACCTATATCCTCCTGGCATCAGCTTAAACTGACACATACTTTTGTCCCATATATTTTAACTATTTTGCTTAAAGTTTGTATTTTCTTGATTTCACATGAAAACTTGGAAATTTCCAACATATTTCAATGAAATTTTCAATTTCCAAAATTATAGTTTATAATTATATAAGGAAAAAAGAAGGCATCAGTTTCAATTGATGCCAGAAGGATTTTTTTTTTACAGTAAACTTCACACTGTACAAGTTCCAGGGTACATTTGAGGTAGAAGGTTATATTAAGGGGTAGTTTATATGGATAGGAGAGGAAGATAATGATTGACTTGAGACTTGAACAGGTTAAGATTGTAGTGATCAGGGAAACATCCTTTTGGAAGTCTGTTCCACAGAGCAGTAGTTTGCAGAAAGAAGCTGTTTGAGTAGAACTTACTTCTTACCGATGGAATATGTAGGGAATGTGGCT